AACTTTAAGCACATACTATTAAACACACAAAAATGGTTATGTTTAAGAAGTTAGTATCATTATTCGCTAAGTCCCAAATGGAGTAAATATACTTTAGATTTTAGTAATCACAGATCTAAGCTCTAGAGTTTGAATAAAAAGAAACACATACATAACTATAAACACACATATACACACAATTTTATATTTATTATAATGATGCAGGAAAATGATATGATTAATGTATCTATGCAACTTATTATTCATTGGCATACCACAATTTCCAATACAGTTTCAGTAACCCCTTTCATTCACTGCTTATCATGGCTCAAGTTAACATTTTATTTGGAGAAATGGAGTTACCACAAATAGCTATTTGAACAAATGCAAGAAAAATGTTTTATAGGTGATCAAGTGAAGAGTATTGTAACCAGATATTATAGTCATGCTTAGAAAAGTATCTTATTTTGGAGTTAGAAGTCCAAAATTTTGTCTTATTACCATTCATCTTAAGAGTTTGGACAGATCATTTAACTTCTCTGATCCTCAGTGTCTTCATTTGTACAATAAGAATAGTGATACTTGTAATATTTCTATTTCCTAGCTTTCATACAGTTACACTGCACACTATCACTATTACTATTACCACTACTTATAATACTAATTCCACCACTGAATGAAGGCTTCTATGTGCCAAAACCCTGTGACTTGTTTTTTATACTTTATAACTCTATCACACCCCCACAGCAGTCCTGTAAGATAAGTATTCTAATTTTCTTATACAGAAGAAGAAAATACCTCAGTGTAGCTAAGCAACTGGCCAAAAGTCACATAGCTATTAAGAGCTTGAGTGAAAATCTGAATCGGGTCTTTCTGACTCCAAATTTCAGTTCAGACCCACAATATCCTGTTTCCTCTAATATACCATATGTTTACATATATATATATATATACACATATGTATAATGTTAATATGTAATATATATTAACTACACAACATATTTTCCATATGACATAATATTCATTTTATACACACACACATACATATACATATGCTTAAATTCTAAAATGTCATACTCATGTTCAAGTTTTTTTCTTTAATTTCAAGGCCTAATGCATGGAATAGAGTAGGTGCTTAGTCAGAGTTTAGGAAAAAGAAATTAATATGTCAGAGATAAGTAAGATCATTTTGAGTAATCTGCTAATTTGCTTGTGCGTCAACAATAACAGAGGCTATGTAAATCCTACTTTTACTTAAGATGATCTTGTTCAAATTATTCCAGAGAAAAAATATTATGGACTAAGCAAAGTTTCAAGTCTAGATACAGAATTGACAATGAGGGAAAAGCAACTATTTTCAATAAACAAGAGCTAAAAAATAACCTTACGGTTTAATGAAGAGAGAAAAAATCTTTAAAAATTACATATGATTCTTATTTTTCAAAGTGGTTAACATACTATCTCCCAAATTTAAAATTTCAAAAAAGCTATCTTGTACTTTTGCATCAAAACAAGGTAATACTTGCCATATTTTCTCTTGATTGTTGTATATAAATATTAACAATGATGATGATAATTGGATAGTGGCATGCAAAAAGAACACTATATTTTTTTCATAGTTTATGAGAAAGGGCAGGAGGTATTAGAAAAGATGCACAGAAGTCTTTTCTAATCAAGACACAAATTTCCAACTATGTAAAAACACTCCGTGCTATCCCTTAATCACCTCCCAAAGAATATAAGGCTGAATGGAAAGATGCTGACACGAGGGCCAGTTCAGAGCTAACATGACACGTCTTGGGAACAGGAGACGCTGCTGTTTCCATTATCCTCTGAACACCTTGGCAATTCTTATTTCATCCTGAGAATGTGATACTTACTCTTGTACTGCTCTGGCTATGGAAAGGGCCGTGGATCCAGTTTCATTAACGCTATCTAAGGTCACATTTGGCAGGTCATCATCATCACTGTCACTTTTACTTTGTCTGGGAGATAGGCCTCGAGGGTCCATTTGTGCTGGGAAAAAAAGGCATATATAATGAATTAAAATCAGTGTGCAGAAAGTTAACCTCGTCCTGGACCGACATCATGCACAGAATGTCTCTTCTGTGTATATCACACATGTGGAATTCTCTAGAAGTCCCAGGAATTAGTGAAAGCAACATACTTAATGGACTGAGCACTTACTGACTCTTTCCTCTTGTTCACTTGATTTTCAAAACCCTCATCAGCTCTCAGTAGTTTCAGGGTATGATGGTAGAATAAAACTATAAAATCCATACTACTACTAACTGCTGGTTAGTCAGAAGCTGATTAGGTAGTTCACGAGTTACTGTTCAGCCTTCTGGCTTCTCCTTGTTTCTGCCACAGAGCTCTGGCCATTTCACTGCTCATTAGCACTTTCCCTGGAAGGTAGAGCGCATGAGGGCAGGGAGATTTTATTTGCTTATAGCTCTTGTACTAAGCTTAAAGAAGAACAACGTTTATAAGCCTAACATAAAATTTTAGGCATTTTTCATACTTCAATGAATCATTGTCTCACAGTTCATTACTACTCTAAGTGGAGTGCAGAAAAATGACCCAAGTGGTAGCATTTTAAATATGTCTGTATGTGCTAGAAAGTGCTCTTTGTCTCCATCCTGATTTCATTTTTCAAAAATGCATTTCGAGATTTGATTCTCCTCCCATTGTGAACTTGCCAAAGCCAAGAAATAACCCGCTGTTCTGACCCCTGATGACTGGGACCATCATATCCTTTCAAATGAGAGGATTATCATCAACATTTAATATGTTAACACATATTTAAAAAAATTAAATTTGATTTCTACTTGCTCGAATGAACAGCTTTGGCAACCACCACCTAGGATTTCCACCAGCCCTCACCTCCAGCATGAAATAAGCACACCTTCTAAATTAAAAATACCGCACTAGCTACAAAATTGCATTGTTAAAATATACAACTTCAACCCCAGTCAGTTCCAACCAGACTGCTGCTTCTCAAACCTTGCCTACGTGAGATTCCTAAAACCACCACTGCTAGCAAAAGCACAGTGTGCTTAAAATCATGATTACCTGACATTTGGGTACTTACAATTGCACTTTTTTCCCAACTCTTTTATTTTTGTGTGTTACTATGCATTGTACGTTAGGTAGGACCACAAGGAAATATTGATACTTCACCATTTTTTACTCACAAAAAGATACTTTCTCATGATTCTACCCAATATTTACAATATGACCGGAAAAACTATGCCTAGCAAGTTTCAACCTATTTCTAACTAAACTTTGCTAGGAAGAAACTTGTATCTGTTAAACCTAGTGCCCTAGTGTATTTGACATTCATTCTGTTTGCAAGTATAAACATACCAAAATGCATTTTGTACAGTGGAAATGCTTCGCTGAATTAAAGGGAAAATAATGCAAATAGCCTAAAGCAGTGGTCCTCAAACAAGGGCAAATCTCCCCCATGAGGCATTTGGTAATGTCTGGAGACATTCTGGTTTGTCACAACTTAAGGGAGGAGGATGCTACTGGCATCTGGTGGGCAGTAACTAAGGATGGTTCTAGACATCCCACAATGCACAGGATAGTCAGTCCCCAACAACAAGAACTAACTAGTCTAATATGTCGATAGGACCTAGGTTTGAGAAACTTTGATGTAGAGATTTAAGTTTGGACATACTAAGGTGTTGTACCTCTTAACTTTCAACTGCATAACTATGTTCTAGTTTTAAAGTCACTAGCACAGAAATTATATATTGGATCATCCATATTTTTTGGCCCTGTCCCAAATAAAACTGGTCACTGTCATGTGACTCAGCACTCACAACATCCTTGAACACAACATATAATTCTCAAGTGCTAGGAATTATACAGTGACACAAAATTTCAACCTGTTCTCTAGAAAAGACTCTATAGAAGAGGGATGTTGGGGAAACTCTTTGTCCAGGAAAGGAACCAATTGCACAACCATTTAATAACAGAGAGCTAAGTAAGTATTTATTCACTGAAGGCACCACCATATCATTTAAGATTTATTTTGGCTGCAGGGAACAGAAACCGGCTCAGGATAACTTATATTAAATGGAATGTACTGGGAAGATACAGAGCAGCTCACAGAATGGAAGATAAAGATGAGCAAACAGCACTGAATTACAGGACCCAGAGATAAAATAGGCATTTCAACCAGAAATCCATAGATAGTTTCTTTTTTGAGAAAATCTTGTATTAGTATGATTCATTTAATATTCATTCATAACTACTCAAATTCAGCCAAGAAAATGAGTATCAGACCTATCTGAGCTTCCAAATCACATACTGTGTGGTGTTACACATGCCAGTAAACATCAACAATTTAACATTTAAGGTTGTGGAAACATCATGTATTAAGACTCCATTGCCAAGATATCCAGTTAACAAACAGTTAAAGAACTGATAATATTCCAGCAGTCTCATTTTTAATCAAGACACAAATTTCCAACTATGTAAAAACACTCCGTGCTATCCCTTAATCACCTCCCAAAGAATATAAGGCTGAATGGAAAGATGCTGACACGAGGGCCAGTTCAGAGCTAACATGACACGTCTTGGGAACAGGAGACGCTGCTGTTTCCATTATCCTCTGAACACCTTGGCAATTCTTATTTCATCCTGAGAATGTGATACTTACTCTTGTACTGCTCTGGCTATGGAAAGGGCCGTGGATCCAGTTTCATTAACGCTATCTAAGGTCACATTTGGCAGGTCATCATCATCACTGTCACTTTTACTTTGTCTGGGAGATAGGCCTCGAGGGTCCATTTGTGCTGGGAAAAAAAGGCATATATAATGAATTAAAATCAGTGTGCAGAAAGTTAACCTCGTCCTGGACCGACATCATGCACAGAATGTCTCTTCTGTGTATATCACACATGTGGAATTCTCTAGAAGTCCCAGGAATTAGTGAAAGCAACATACTTAATGGACTGAGCACTTACTGACTCTTTCCTCTTGTTCACTTGATTTTCAAAACCCTCATCAGCTCTCAGTAGTTTCAGGGTATGATGGTAGAATAAAACTATAAAATCCATACTACTACTAACTGCTGGTTAGTCAGAAGCTGATTAGGTAGTTCACGAGTTACTGTTCAGCCTTCTGGCTTCTCCTTGTTTCTGCCACAGAGCTCTGGCCATTTCACTGCTCATTAGCACTTTCCCTGGAAGGTAGAGCGCATGAGGGCAGGGAGATTTTATTTGCTTATAGCTCTTGTACTAAGCTTAAAGAAGAACAACGTTTATAAGCCTAACATAAAATTTTAGGCATTTTTCATACTTCAATGAATCATTGTCTCACAGTTCATTACTACTCTAAGTGGAGTGCAGAAAAATGACCCAAGTGGTAGCATTTTAAATATGTCTGTATGTGCTAGAAAGTGCTCTTTGTCTCCATCCTGATTTCATTTTTCAAAAATGCATTTCGAGATTTGATTCTCCTCCCATTGTGAACTTGCCAAAGCCAAGAAATAACCCGCTGTTCTGACCCCTGATGACTGGGACCATCATATCCTTTCAAATGAGAGGATTATCATCAACATTTAATATGTTAACACATATTTAAAAAAATTAAATTTGATTTCTACTTGCTCGAATGAACAGCTTTGGCAACCACCACCTAGGATTTCCACCAGCCCTCACCTCCAGCATGAAATAAGCACACCTTCTAAATTAAAAATACCGCACTAGCTACAAAATTGCATTGTTAAAATATACAACTTCAACCCCAGTCAGTTCCAACCAGACTGCTGCTTCTCAAACCTTGCCTACGTGAGATTCCTAAAACCACCACTGCTAGCAAAAGCACAGTGTGCTTAAAATCATGATTACCTGACATTTGGGTACTTACAATTGCACTTTTTTCCCAACTCTTTTATTTTTGTGTGTTACTATGCATTGTACGTTAGGTAGGACCACAAGGAAATATTGATACTTCACCATTTTTTACTCACAAAAAGATACTTTCTCATGATTCTACCCAATATTTACAATATGACCGGAAAAACTATGCCTAGCAAGTTTCAACCTATTTCTAACTAAACTTTGCTAGGAAGAAACTTGTATCTGTTAAACCTAGTGCCCTAGTGTATTTGACATTCATTCTGTTTGCAAGTATAAACATACCAAAATGCATTTTGTACAGTGGAAATGCTTCGCTGAATTAAAGGGAAAATAATGCAAATAGCCTAAAGCAGTGGTCCTCAAACAAGGGCAAATCTCCCCCATGAGGCATTTGGTAATGTCTGGAGACATTCTGGTTTGTCACAACTTAAGGGAGGAGGATGCTACTGGCATCTGGTGGGCAGTAACTAAGGATGGTTCTAGACATCCCACAATGCACAGGATAGTCAGTCCCCAACAACAAGAACTAACTAGTCTAATATGTCGATAGGACCTAGGTTTGAGAAACTTTGATGTAGAGATTTAAGTTTGGACATACTAAGGTGTTGTACCTCTTAACTTTCAACTGCATAACTATGTTCTAGTTTTAAAGTCACTAGCACAGAAATTATATATTGGATCATCCATATTTTTTGGCCCTGTCCCAAATAAAACTGGTCACTGTCATGTGACTCAGCACTCACAACATCCTTGAACACAACATATAATTCTCAAGTGCTAGGAATTATACAGTGACACAAAATTTCCACCTGTTCTCTAGAAAAGACTCTATAGAAGAGGGATGTTGGAGAAACTCTTTGTCCAGGAAAGGAACCAATTGCACAACCATTTAATAACAGAGAGCTAAGTAAGTATTTATTCACTGAAGGCACCACCATATCATTTAAGATTTATTTTGGCTGCAGGGAACAGAAACCGGCTCAGGATAACTTATATTAAATGGAATGTACTGGGAAGATACAGAGCAGCTCACAGAATGGAAGATAAAGATGAGCAAACAGCACTGAATTACAGGACCCAGAGATAAAATAGGCATTTCAACCAGAAATCCATAGATAGTTTCTTTTTTGAGAAAATCTTGTATTAGTATGATTCATTTAATATTCATTCATAACTACTCAAATTCAGCCAAGAAAATGAGTATCAGACCTATCTGAGCTTCCAAATCACATACTGTGTGGTGTTACACATGCCAGTAAACATCAACAATTTAACATTTAAGGTTGTGGAAACATCATGTATTAAGACTCCATTGCCAAGATATCCAGTTAACAAACAGTTAAAGAACTGATAATATTCCAGCAGTCTCATTTTTTTGAAGACCACTAGACCTGTCATAGGTAAAGAAATACAACACAAGGAACATATCAGCAGTTAACTAATAAGCAATCTGGCTCTCAGAGTAAAGTCTAACTATACGAAAGATGCCAGATAACTGGTGTTCCGAGCTGATCATCTATGTTATGTTTGTATCTTAATGAAAGTTTAAAATATGTTAAATATGATATCTTTTCTTGATGTACTTTTCAGGAACATCATAATTGAGGATTTCTTTCCAATATTTTCAATAAATATTATGAAATACATCTGCTACCATCATGCTGGGAAACTTTTTACCCATACCTTCAGCCAAGCCGAGGGAGTAATTAGAAAGGCTTTTTTAAAATCTGCATTGCTGAGTAGGTCAGATGATTAGCTTATCTACATACTTGCATAATTCCACTCTATTTTTATTAAATGTGGGAGAGGAACATCTACCCTGGTTAACCTCTATTAGTCTTTGAGTTTCTCAGCTCATTTAGGAAGTGCTGATTCTCCAGGACATCCACTCAGAGAAATGGGAAAGTTACCTGACCGACAGAACCAAAACTGTATCTACTTCCCCGAAGAAGAAAGCAGAAGATAAACTGGAAGCATTAGAAAATAATTTACATATGAGATTTTGTTCCCCTTTTCCTTAATTAAGGTGTCATTGATATACAATCTTCTGAAGGTTTAACAGGAGCAACATTGTGGTTACTACATTCACCCATATTATCAAGTCCCCTCCACCCCCCACTGCATTCCATTGCAGTCACTGTCCATCAGCGTAGTAAGATGCTACAGAGTCACTAGTTTTCTCTCTCCCATACTGCCTTCCCCATGACCCCCCTATAGTTTGTGCAATAATCAGAATGCTCTTTGATCCCTTTCTCCCTCCCTCCCTTCCCCAGCCCTCCTCTTTGGTAACTGCTAATCCCTTGGAGTCTGTGATTCTGCTGCTGTTTTGTTCCTGCAGTTTTTGCTTTGTTGTTATACTCCACAGATGAGTGAAATCATCTGGTACTTGTCTTTCTCTGCCTGGCTTATTTCACTGAGCATAATATCCTCTAGCCCCAACCATGTTGCTGCAAATGGTAGGATTTGTTTTCTTCTTATGGATGAATAATATTCCATTGTGTATATATACCACATCTTCTTCATCCATTCATCTACTGATGGACACTTAGGTTGCTTCCATCTCTTGGCTATTGTAAATAGTGCTGCAATAAACATAGAGGTGCATATGTTGTTTTCAAAATGGGCTCCTGCATTCTTAGGGTAAACTCCTAGGAGTGCAATTCCTGGTTCAAATGGTATTTCTATTTTTAGTGTCTTGAAGAACCTCCATATTGCTTTCCACAATGGCTGCACCAATTTACATTCCCACCAGCAGTGTAGGAGGGTTCCCCCTTTCTCCACATCCTCACCAGCATTTGTTGTTCCTTGTCTATTGGATGTTGGCCATCCTAACTGGTATAAGGTGATATACCTTTATTTGCATTTTCCTGGTAATTAGCGATGTGGAACATTTTTTCATGTGCCTGTTGGCCATCTGAATTTCTTCTTTGGAGAAGTATCTGTTCAGAACCTCCACCTATTTTTTAATTGGGTTATTTGTTTTTTGGGTGTTGAGGTATGTGAGTTCTTTATATATTCTGGATGCCAAACCTTTGTCAGATAAGTCATTTACAAATATATTCTTCCATACTTTAGGATGCCTTTTTGTTCTACTGATGGTGTCCTTTGCCGTACAGAAGCCTTTTAGTTTGATGTAGTCCCATTTGTTCATTTTTGCTTTTGTTTCCCTTGCCTGAGGAGATGCATTCATAAAAAAGTTGCTCATGTTTATATTCAGGAGATTTTTGCCAGTGTTTTCTTCTAAGAGTTTTATGGTTTCATGACTTACATTCAGGTCTTTGATCCATTTTGAGTTTACTTTTGTGTATGGAGTTAGCAATCCAGGTTTCATTCTCTTACATGTAGCTGTCCAGGTTTGCCAAAAAGATTTGTTGAAAAGGCTGTCATTTCCCCACTGTATATCCAGGCTCCTTTATTGTATATCAATTTATCATATATGCTCGGGTTTTTCTGGGCTCTCTATTCTGTTCCATTGATCTATGTATCTGTTCTTGTGTCAGCACCAAATTGTCTTGATTACTGTGGCTTTCTGGCAGAGCTTGAAGTTGGGGAGCATAATCTCCCCAGGTTTATTCTTCCTTCTCAGGGTTGCTTTGGTGATTTGGGGTCTTACTTGGTTCCATATGAATTTTGGAATTATTTGTTCTAGTTCATTGAAGAATGCTGTTGGTATTTTGATAGGAATTGCATTGAATCTGTAGATTGCTTTAGATAGGATGGCCATTTTGATAATATTAATTCTTCCTATCCATGAGCACAGGATGTATTTCCATTTATTGGTGTCTTCTTTAATTTCTCTCATGAGTGTCTTATAGTTTTCAAGGTATAGGTCTTTCACTTCCTTGGTTAGGTTTATTCTCGGGCATTTTATTCTTTTTAATGCAATTGTAAATGGAATTGTTTTCCTGATTTCTCTTTCTGCTAGTTCGTTG